TAGTATAACTAAAATAATGAAACATTTTGGCTTTAGTTATGATTTGCCTTACTTTACAGTTCAGCATTCGAGATTAGGGATAGCCAAGTAGATTAGAGGTAACGGTATAGAAATTTTCTTAATTTAGTCAAAACATTTTCTTAATTTGCCAAATAAACAGCATTGTTCATTAATGCCATCAAAATCGCTGAATATGTTAACGTGACTAATCATCGTCATACATCTACTACAGGGGAGGAGTATGCTCATGCACCTGATATTTTCTGAGGGTGACTGAGGGAACCTGCCCACAGACACTCATTGTCAGAGGCACAGAGGCCAGTGCTACCTCCTCCCTAAATCCACAAAGACATCTCTTTCTGTCAGGTCCGCACTTAGCTTACGAAAGAACTGAAAAATTAAGTGATAACTCTCAGGCATCCATAGCCAGAGAGGAGGTGGTGGTTAGAAGACCAAAGACCAATTTATGCCTTCTTCCTGTGTATGTCTGCTTATGACGGGCAGAAAGGGGCTCTAAGGCTTCCAGAACACCACTGGAATCTCTGACTCCTTTGTAAACAGCCACCGGAATCTGACTCTGGGAAAAACCCTTCCCACCCTTTCCTGAGGAACTTGACCTCTTGTGTTCCCTGTATTATCTCCATCCTATGAAAAACCAAAACTAAATGCATCTATTCACTAATCTGCCCTCTTGTGGTTTTTTTCTTTTGTGAGTTTTATACAGTTGTTCCTTGATTTATATGATACAACTTTTTCAAAAGTTGAATTTAAATGGATTTCTGAAATGGAATCTTATTTTTCCATTAACTTAGAATATTATTTTATCAATATTAATTAGTTAAAAACTTGTGTATGGTTAGTAACGCAACCCTAACATTTTAAGTGTATGTTTCCCAGCCTCTCTGTCAAATAGTTGATGATATATCAAGCATTCAAGTACACTAGGAAAATCTGATATTTCAAGAAAATGTATCATTTTGGTTTGGGGGGGTGGTAAATGGGAAAACCATTTACAAATAACCTGCCTCCTAACCAATTAACTTTTT